AGGTCCACTTTTACCGAACAAGCAAAAGAAAGTGGTCACAATCTGTGCTTCGAGAATAATGCTGTTAAAACCTTATTTCGCCGTTCCGAGGGAAAAATATCATGGCACACATTCTTTTAGTCGGTTAATGTGCAGCGGGAATGTAATAAGACTGATTGTTTGCACGAGCGTGTTGTTTCTAGTCCTGTAGCAAGTTATCGCCGTGTGCTCGTCTGCCGCGAGGCCGCTTATCAGTGAGCGTCATCGATTTACACGACCCGGACGGCTCCGGACGGCCTTGGACGCCAGCGCCGCATTCAGATTTCTCGGGGACCAACTGGAAGCTTCGCCCACTGGTCCGGGATCACTCGGATGCATGTTCGTTTTTTGTGTGCCTGGAGGCCTGTGGGCCTCCCGGGACCGCCCGAACATTTTCTTTCGGGCAGCTGGCAGACAACAGCGCGGTACTTGAGTTAGGCCTACACCGGTAACTCGGCGACCACCGTTGACCGCGTTGAGTTCGTTATGCTCGTTGTCCTGAGCCATAGAGGGGCTCTTTTTGAAGTTCACGGCAAACGAACGACCACCACACCCGCTTCACAAATTACTGTAGCATGGAACTTCTTTACTGCCGCAGGCAGTCAGTAGCACCATGATAAAATGGCGCATGTCCGTGCACGTCACTATGGTGAAGCAGGCGCCAAAAGCGCCCCTTGGCCAGTCGGATGCCTAGGTTTTGTCACGTGCCTCAAGCAGCCAATTGAATCGCTCGCTAGTGCTTCTCGAGGACGCGTTTTTGCTAAAAATACCAATGAGTAAGACGAGCCAGCGGTGGCGGGAAATTGAAGATGAAGAACGACCCTTCCAAACGAGGCAAAGATTAACACGATAGCTCGTGTCTAACAGCAACAGTTTGCCACGGAAAAAGCGCGATTTTAGCGTCAATTTGCGCTCTCATTCATCTCACAGGGATGTTATAAATTGATTTTGTGCCAGAAATAATGACGTGAAAAGGTAGTAACTTCTCAGATATGTGCAAAAATAGGTACAGATTCCGAAAATGTCAGCTTCAAACAGTCAATTTTTTTTGCGATTTTGGCCTAAGACCAGTGTCCCCCCTTAAATAGGCATCAGCCCAATACTGACATCCTACTCTTATTTTTTGAGGGCTCCTGTTGAGTGACAAACGCCTGCAGCGTCCACAAACTTTGCCTATGGTATTCTAATTCTCGACTATTTGCTTGCACTTCTTTGTCTCAAATAAATCTTGCCTTGTGTTGAACCTTTCCCTTTATTGTTGAGGTAAATTTCAATTGGTACTTCTCAAAGCTTGCTGTTAGTTGGTCGTGTGAAATTCCCTATTTGCGGCCTCTTCGTTTTTCCTTTTTGCTCTTTACGTTTTCGTGGAAAGTTTTCCCCACGTAATTCTCACACCCCCCCAACTTAGCATCAGTTTTCCGTGAGAAAAGTGCCAGGATAATGCGAGTAAATGCGGTATTAAGTTCTTTACAGCCCCAGAAAGAAGGGGCAAATCATGGCATGTTGAAGTTGCGAGAACCACGCTACAGTAAAAGCTCGTTAATTCGGATTTCACAGGACTGGAAAAAATGTCCGAATTAACCGAATGCCGAATTAACGAATGAACAGGGAAAACATTTAAAATCAAGCTGCAGAAGCATAGCTTTATTCGTTGAAGTATTTTGTAATTGTCGTCTGCGTTTTCACGCAGATTCCGGCTGACATCACAATTTTTCTTAACTGTTCCAAATGGCCAAGAGCACGCAAGCTGTCGGGAGTGTTCAGGCAAGCGTCCTCTAATATTAACAGCGCCTCCGAGACTTCCCGTGAGGTGCGATGAGGTCGCTGCTGTATCTCCTCGCATGATTCTTCGTCGGAATCGTGGTCTTCATGGGCGCCTGTGACATCATTAATAATCTCTTGATCGGTCAGGAGACCACTCGTGGTGACACCATGATCAATCGCGATGTAGTCCTGAAAGGTCACATCTGTGGGAAGGACAGCATCGAAAGTCGGGCAGTCATCGTCGGTGGACTCGGCTGACACCTCCTCGATGCCGTCGTCAGCTACTGCTGCATGCTCGGGCCTCACAAAACCGCTGTGCCGAAAACAGTTGGCGATGATGTGCACTGCGCCGAGTAAGTCCACTTGATACAACTTTCCAGCTTCTGAGCATAGGATCATTCGCTCTAGCAGGTGCTTGCGGTACTTCGACTTCACATAGTGAATGATCTTCAGTTCGACTGTACAGTTATGGGCACTGCAGTTGTCAACAACCATAATTATCTTGCGGTCCTTCGACGTGAAGTGCCGGTCCAACTGCTGCAGCCAGCCGCGAAAAATGTCCGATGTCATCCATGCCTTCCTGTTCGCTGTGTACTCGACAGGAAGGCTTTTGACATTCTTAAAACTACGTGGCTTAAGCGCCTTCCCGACGACAAGTAGTGGCAAGCGCTCCATGCCAGTCATATTGGCGGCAAGAAGCACAGTTATCCTTTGCTTGCACTTCTTGCCACCAATTCACGCGTCCCCTTTGAAAGTCACCGTCTTGTCGGGCAGAGCTCTGAAAAATAGAGCAGTTTCATCTGCATTGAACACGTCACGTGGTTCATATGTGGCGATGTGCTCCAGCAGCTTCACATTTCTCCACTCGGTGGTCACGCTTTCGTCAACACTGGCCTTTTCGCCGCACACACTCCTGAAGACAAGTTCGTATCTCTCTCGAAACCTCGCAAACCACCCTTCTGACGCTTTGAACGATTCAATGTTCATCATTGCAGCGTACTTCTCACCTTGCGCCATGATGAGAGGTCCGCTCAAAGGCAGATGCGCGTTGCGACAGTCAGTAATCCACCGGATCAAAGCTTCTTCTATCTAGCTGGTGATGAGCTGCGGTTCGCAACCGCTTTCTAGAGGCATGAAACTTCTCACTTTCAAAGGCTTGTCGAATCTGTTGTTCATTTTTCACGTACGTTCCCAACGTGCTCCGCTTCACGTTGTACTTGGTCATAACCTGCTGTCGCGATTCGCCGTTCTTCAGTGCTTCCAAAATTTTCACTTTAGTCGCCAAGTTCTTCGTATCGTAGTTCTGCCGCTTTTTTGGCGTTGTCATCACTGTAGCGCACGATGGTGGTGGCATGCAAATACGGTCACAATGGAAGAAAAAGAGAACTCCGCAAGAAGAGATGGTTCCGACACAACACAAGGGAAAATGGCGTCAGAGGCGCTGAGTGGAGAAGAAAGAAGACGCCGACGTTCGGTGATGGTTCGATCGCCCCCACTAGTTGATGATGATGGCGATGCCACTCAGGTTTCGGTTTCACTCTAGTGGTGCCAGCGCTGCTTTATCACACTTTTGTGTAGCAGCAGCCGTCAGCATTTGTCCGAATTAAGCGGTGTGGAGCCGAATTCCGACGAAATAACGAAGGTTTAGTCCCATAGATTAACATGCACTTTGGCTGGGATCAATAGAGTCGTCCGAATTTCCGAATTAACGGGTGTCGAATTAACGAGCGTTTTACTGTATATGCTTTCTGTGTCTTTTTTTCTTCTTTTTTTTTTTTGCACTGAAAGTAGCAAGGTCAAGGTGCTTCAGCTGCCAATGATTAGTATCGCTACGTTGCATTGCCTTGTTGCTCTTAAAGGCCAACTCCGGCGATTTTTGACCATGTCAGGATAATGGTGCGTCTAGTTTCCTTACACTCTTCTCGCATGTCTAATAACTGAAATGCTCAAAAATTTCGAAAGTAATTTTTAATTACCGAGAAACCACAATACTAAGACTGAAACCCAACCCAGTGCGCTTCTACATGTGGCGTAAAGATTTGCCCCGCCACGGTGGTCTAGTCGCTAAGATACTCTGCTAACCCGCAGGTTGCGGGATCGAATCCCGGCGTTAAACCCCACAAATCAATCAATCTATCAACGTAAACATTTGCCTGACGCTGCCAGATGGCACTACCTGTCCATGCCATCTTCAGCAATCGACTAAAACGCTTACACTCTTATGGTGAATATATGGTGAATCGTGTGTGGCTCACGATGCCACACCACTTGGCTCCTATCGCACGACCACCAATACGGAAAAGGAAATCAAACGCTCAACAAAGGTAGCGCCGGCCAAACCCACGCAATCTGTAGCAGAGAAGCAAACGCTGCAGTGGCACATGTCGCTTCCTCCAGACAAAACTCAGCGTCACACACACAATGTTGCCATTAATTCTGGCAAGGAGGGGGAGCGTTTTTGAGGCAAGCTATAAAATTAATTTGAAGAGAATCTGCTAAACTCTCAAGTCTGCTGTTTGGCATGAATGGTGCAAATGAATGTACCCATTGAATTTCATTGAGATCCACTGACCTCGAAAAATCACCAGAGTTGGCCTTTAAGGGCCATTGTTTCCGCGGATTTATGGTGTAAAGTTGAGAATTGGCACATGGCACCCAAAGTTTTCGTAATGACTAGACCGGCGCAGACTGCCACTTCAAATTGGCCGCTCAGACTTAGATTGCAATAACGGGGCTGCTGAAATATTTCAAACTAAGTGGTATTTTGAAATGACAGAGTTCGAAATAATGATGTTTTAGTGTAGTTAAATTTAGTGCGCGTTCAAGAATCCCAAGTGGTTCAAATAAATCCTTAATTGCCGACTATGGTTTGCCTCACAGTCGTATTGCAGTTTTGTAACATAAAACTCCAGCAGTGATTATCATGGCATATTCAGGTGAGCATTCTGACCGGGTTTGATGGTGGTCAATTCAGCAGCTTTAAATTAAAGCTCTACAAGGAACAAGCCTGTAGGCAAGCCATCCTCCTTCCCTATTGTGTATTGGTCCGCTTATATTTACTCTTGTAGATAAACTTTGGAGGGCTTCTAGAGTTTTGCGAGACAACCACCCGAATTCTGTTATTATAATTATTGTTGTTAGTTCCTGCCAGCATTTGCTGCTAAATGTGAGTGTGCCACAATCAGCGACATGTAATAATTGTGACATGTGCGTTGCAGGGGAGCGGCCCTGCAGCGGCGCATGAAAGACCGCGAGAAGGAGATCGAGCTGGACAACCGCGACCGACAGCGAGAACGTGAGGAGCTCGAAGATCTCCAGGTGAAGCTGAAGGCCGAGGGCCACCCCGATCCGGTGGCGGAGGCCAAGCGCATCCACCACGAGGAGGAGGTCCGCCTTCTCAGCACACAGCCACACCTAGTGCCCGTGGTGCGGCCAGAGCCACCCGAGCCCGAACCCGAGCCGACCAGGGGTGGCCGAAACCACCCGTCCTCGCCACCTCCGGCGCGACGGCCTTCGCAGCACAGCCGGGCGCTGCCCCAGTCGCCCAAGGCCGAGCCGCGATCGCCGCCCCCGCGCCGGGAGAGTTCGTCGACACGCCGTACGCGGTCACCTTCACCAGTTTCTGCGGCACCCCCTGTGGTGAAAGTGGAAGAGGATGGCAGTGGCCAGAACAGCCTGTCCGGGTTCTCGGACGTGGCAACCCCACAGGAGGAAGGACGGAGCATGGGTTTCGGTGTGCTCAAGTTGGGTGAGTGCCTCTCTTTTATTTGTACAGTCGAATCTCGATAATTCGAACTCGAAGGGGCCCGAAAATTTGTACGAATTAAAAGAAGTTCGAAATAGTGAAAGCTAAATAAATGGAGGGCTTTCCATGCGGTGGCGCATGTGCATTGAGCTAACACACAAGGGGGAAGTTTTCGAAGACTTACATTTATTCACAAATCGCAGGACATCCGTTATTAAGGCGAGAAATGGTCTTTGAGACCGAAAATCGCTAAAAAATACGATTTTTTTGAAAATGCTACATTTGGATTCTCTCACTATCGCTGCATAATCTCGCCAATTTTCACGCGTTCTAGATTGCTAATTTAGCCATGAAAGTAGTTTATGCGACGTTAGTGAACTGAATTTTTGGCGATGAACACGTGAAAAACAGGCTTTTTCAACGCCACGGTGTTGCCGTTCTACGCTTGCTACAGCAGTCGTCTTGGTTGCATTCGAAAGAGCCGCCCTTTTTCTTTCATGTCCCGCCACGCTTGTTTTCGTCCACTCAATATGCATGCCATGAATCCGCGTAAAAAAAAAAAAAAAAAAGCCCTGTCGCTTGAGCCTATCGATGTGATGAGCACACGTGACTAAATCGCACCTCCCCATTCGCCGGGCCTCCCAAGCTATCTGCTGCGTGCGGCAGCGGAGCGCACGTGTCGCGGCGAGTGTATGTCACTTTGTACTCGTCTGCTTCCTCAACTCGCGTGAGCTAGCGAGAAATCAGAGCAAGCGTCTCTGTATAGTCTTTACGTTCGACGATATACTGGTACAACGCTAAATGAGCTCGACGAAGCCGCCAGGACAGCGCGGTAAGCCTACGCTCTCAACCGCGTTTTCCCGAGCTGTCTGCTGCGTGCGGCAGTAGAGCGCACGTGAAGCGGCTAGTGTATCTCGCTGACATGTCATTGTTCTCATCGGCTTCCTGAACCCGTGCGAGCTAGCGAGAAATTGGAGCAAGCGTTTCTCAAGTCTGCTCATTCAGGCAGGCCGCCGAACCAGCCCGACAAAGCGCGCCACAGCCACCGGGCCAGTGCATTAGGCCTATGCTCTCGGCCACGTTTTGAACCTGGCTTGAACCTTTCATCATGCCGAAGCCATATCGCAAGCTCCGCACCGCTCACAAGTTTGGAAAAAAGCGCAAGAAATCTACGGCAAAAAAAGATAATGGCATTGGTATATCCGACGCGCACCTAGTACAAGACGGCGCGGCGACGGAACACGATCGGTCGGATGAAACGATGACATCTCCGCCTGTTTCCCCGGCCGCCTCAGACGACGTCGGCGATAGGCAGCGCATAAGGAACGACACAACATTTTTGACGAGCGCCGATTGTGCGCAACAGCAGAAAGTGAGTGCTGATAAGATCAGCAGCTTATCGGCAACTTCGGCGAGCGAGCGCAAGCTGCGAACACTCGTGACAGCGCACGAGGACTGTGACCCATCGGCAGCTTCCTACGGGACCTTCGACTTATTTGCGATAAACAAGCTTTTTGAAAGAACAGCTAAATGCTGGAAATGCAGTGGGTTCATTTCTATTGAAAAAGGTGTGCGGAAATATGGACCTGCGATGAAGCTGATTTCAGAGTGCCACAACTGTGGACTTGTTGACAGTGAGTGGAGCTCTGGGAGGGTACCCACCCAGTCAGGCTAAATGCGCTGCATTTGAAGTCAATATCCGTGCGTCTCGTGCTGTGCAAAGCACAGGAAATGGCCAGGCAGCCCTAAACGACATCTTCTCTGTAATGGGAATTTCTCACAGGGGACTTCCCCACAAAAGCTATCAAAGCCATTTGAAAAGTAAACTGAACCTTGCGCCAACAAGAGCTGCAGACAAGGTCCTCTCTGATTGCGCCATGTCAGTGAAAACATTATACTAAGATCTGTGCTTTGACAACCCTGGTAATGTGGCCATCTGTTATGATGGCACATGGATGACCAGAGGCCACCTGTCGCACATTGGTGTGGGTGTTGTTATAGAGCTGTTTTCTGGCTATGTTTTAGACTATGTTGTACGGTCAAATTTTTGTGCCGGCTGCAAGCACGCACCACCAAAAGAGCACCCAAATTACTTGGTCTGGGAGTCATCGCACATCTGCCAGAAAAATACACAGTGCAAATCGGGGCACATGGAAGTGGAAGCAGCAGTCACTCTCTTAGAGCACTCAATTTCCCGTCACGGCTTGCGGTACACGGTGAAGCTGTGTGGTGGGGACAGTAGATCATTTTGTGCTGTTGAAGACTCAACAGTTTATGGTTTCATACAGGTTCAAAAAGAGGACTGTATAAACCATGTCCAAAAACGAATGGGTACTGCACTACGCAATCTTTTTCAAAAGCATAAAAATTATGGTGAAACACTAAGTGGAAGAGGCCGCTTGACAAGTGATGTCATAGAGAAATTGTTGAGATACTATGGCTGGGCTCTATGCAATGCACCGGGCAGCCATGGCCACACATTATCATGTGACATCGGCTGATGAAAGTTCCAACCACACCTTGTGCCCAAGTGGCAGTGACTCATGGTGCAAGCAGAATGCTGCTGCTGCAAGGGGAGAACCGCTGCCAAGACACACCTACAACTTCCCACTAAATGTCCGTGATGCACTACTTCCATTCTACAAGCGACTTTGTGACAAAGAGCTGCTAAAATGCTGCCAAAGAGGCTCTAAGACACAAAATGCAAACGAGGCACTTCATTCTGTCATATGGTCTCTGTAATGAAAATATTCTTTATCGGGGCTAACGTTCGTCACAGCTTGTTTTGCATGACGTGCGAGGAGAAACGGACATTGAGATGACGCGGTAACAACACACACCACGTTTATGACAGAGCACGAAAGAAAAAAATAGAACACAGAACCAGAAAAACCGTGAAGACGGATAAGTAACAAAACTGTCTGATCGAACAAGAAAACCAATGAACACGAGTTCAAGGCGGAGAGTTCCAAAACTTCACAATGAGATGCGGGGCCCGACGAACGCCAAGGTGCAGGGCAGGAGGCGGTGACAGGCGATCGGGAGCGGGATGCGTCTCAATGTGCGACGCTATGGTGACAACGGCGTTTGACGGCGTGGGTGAGACTACAGAGCAGTCAACTCGCATCGGAGACTCAATGCTCCATGCGGGGAATGGCCAGCTCGCCCAGCGAACTGCTTGCGTCGAGACGCGATGCTCGGCGCAACTGTGACCATTAGCCAGGCCAATTCGGTTGCTGTGCTGAACGGCTGACCGTGGGGACGCCTCGCCGAGATCCGCGATGCCCTCAGCAAGGAAGAGAACAGAAGGCCCGGCTGCACCCCGAGATGCAGTACTCGTGACGGCTACGCCGCCCCTGCTGGTGGTTGGACGGCAGTAGCGTGGACAGCCGCGTTCCCTGGCCGGAACCTGGATCGCCTGCGCCCGGCGCTTCGGCCCGCTGTCTTCCGTCTCCCGCTGCTTCGGTTCGTACATAGCAACGAAGCTTACCACCACGTAATGGTCACACGTGGCACAATTGTGGCACGCCACCTTTATGGGCCACCACAGGTCATCAGCTGATTGGCTGACCTCACACGCACAGTTGGCTCAAAATCACACGCACCTTGCCCCGCACTTTCGTCGTCTTCGTTTTTCTTGAATCCTCAGTCTCTAATGCCTAAAAAGAAGAATGCTTCACTCATAGCTGTTGAGACTGCAGTTGCTGAGGCTGTAATGCGCTTCAATTCAGGAATGAAAGAAGCCTCCACACGTATCCTCAAAGAAATTTAGCTAGAGCGAAACTCCATGAGCTAGTGACGGGTAAAAAGAGAAAGATTCTCGGCGGATCATGAGTGCTGAGCTAAAAGCGTTCAGCATCTTCCAGGTTCCTGCTACAAGCAAAGCAGTGGCAACGACAAAAGTGTGACAAAGACTACTGCCCTGGTGCTTTCTGAGGCATTTATATGCAAAGAAAAACATTTTTGTTTGTAGAATTCCTTGAATATACAGAGCTTTGTTTTTTGCCATTTTCGCAGTTTCAGTTTTTCCGCCACCTTTCATTCTTCTGACAAGCGCTTCTCAGCTTTGGTACACTGGAATTGGATAATTTTTGTCTTGCTGAGAAGCTGGATGCTTAGTGAGTGCAAGAAAGTGCCATATGCAACTATAAGACACCATAAATTTTTAGAAAAAATAAAATACAAAAATTATCGTTCTTTGAAATGAAAGGATGAACTTCTAAACTTCATAACTTTTGTTGTAGGAAAGCTAGAGCCATGAAACTTGCTTTTTGCGCTCTTTGCTAATTGTAGAATGCAATGACATTTAATTCAGCAAGATCCGTACAGCCAATTTACTGGAAAGGTGATCAAAAACTTTTTATTATTGACTAATTAAAAAAAAATGGTAAGAGGTACATAAAAAACTGAGTTTATATTTGACATCTGCACATGTAAATACACCATCTCATAAGTTTTCATCACCCTTAAGTAATAAGGCGCCCAATGGCTAACTGCCTCTTCCCCCCTTAATTGAAGTAATCGGTGATGCGCGTCTGCACACGTTGCCTTGCCACGAGTCAATCAATTTCGCACGCAGCTTACAAAGCATTTCTACTTCGGCTTCAGCGTTCTCCTGACAAGAGAAGTTGCGCGCGGAAATGTCTAGCATCGACAACGACTGCGTAGCGGAGCCTCAGCCGCCACATACTTTTTTTCCTCCATGGCCGCAGCATGATGTTACGAAGGCGCACCGCTGACGAGGTTACGATGGGCGCCACGAAACTCGCCGCTTACAAGGACACCGGCCGTGCCGACAGCGAAAGGGGGCTCGAAGCAACGAGATGTCTTCTCTCGCCCGCATACGTCGACTTTTCTCTGACGCCTAGGTCAACTGCTGGGGACGCGCCGCTTGGCTTTTTTTATAGGCACCGAGTGGATCTTTGCGTCACCAACGTCCAACCAGAAGCGCCGCTGGCTGTGATGTCAGAATCCTCCAATGGGGACCCGCCACTGCACGTGGT